CATATATATGGCCTTGGCAGGCAAAAATAGAAAAGAACGGCCCATTGAAAATATACAGGGGTGCACATTTCGACGTCATGTTCTCTCAGTGCACATTACTTTTTCCACTTTTTATTCCACAGAAAACCCTCTCAAATCAACATTTTTTTAGTACAAAATAAGACTTCAAAAATGTTTTCGTTCCAAGCGCACGAGGTCGAGAGGAATTTGTAGGGATCGTTTTAACCTCAAAAATGAACTGTGCGACACGTCAGGGTACCGTGAAGTTTTCCAAATTTTGGCTTCAACTCCGTCGCTTTGACTGCTTTCTACGCTCTGTTGTTGAAGTTTTAGACTCAATAAGTAATGTTTTGTTTCAGCAAAACTAAACTGTATATTGCTGTCCCGAAAGGGAAAGTAGTTTCGTTTCTCTTGAGCACCATGTCTACAAGCGGTTTGTGTGTCGGCGATAATACAGCAAAATGCGCACGACGCTAACGATATGGTGCATGGTACCTTGAGTCCAAAAGTTTTTATTGCACACAATCTGACAGGAGCCCTGTTCATTGACCCCATACTCGGGGCGAAAGCAATTGTTTGATTCCTTACTTCGTGCATCAAAAAACCCTCCTAGACCAGAAAGTTGTCGAAAAACTCGAAGCATCTGAGAGAAAACGACCACGCTGTTTATGCCCCTGAATATGTTAAGTGCTCTCACGCTTATACAAATATGATGTACCTCAAATAGACAGATTCACAACCTTACCCCAGCACTGCAGAGGTACGGTAGCTTCGTCCTCGTCATGCCGTAGGTGTTTCAAAGGTGGAAAAGAAGGATACTGTATCCCTTAACACCAGACACGGTACAGCCTGTGTGTCCAAGGCTTTGATATTTCAAAGCGCGTCTGTGACTTAGGCAGTGGTGTATGGGGGAGGCAGGGAGGCAACTTGCACCCACCCCACGCCCCACGGATATTTAAATTTTAAGGTTTTGGTTTTTACAACGAACACTTCACGGTGAGCAATAAAGAAAGTGATCGGTATATTTATTTATCAAATATTACCACTGAAACCCTCAGAAAACAACACCAACAATAAAAGCAAAGATGACAAGACCGTGAGGGAAGTTTTTCTCACCAATATCATGTTGAACGAGCCTGAAGCCGCGTTCGCTCTTGAATCCCCCCCCCACACACACACACACGTACACACACAGCTGGACACGCCGCTGCACATATAGGCCATAAACTAGTTGCTGAAACTAGTTCCAAAACACCAGTGAGCCGTAAATCGATTGAGACGATAATCCCCATTTTATCCTGAACTCCCCAGCAGTTACATCCAGACAGAAGTCTGAGCCTTGACATTTCAATTGTGAAGTTTGTTTCATTCGGTACAAACGGAGGTCAGCGAATAAAGATCACCCGTGATCCGCCCGTCAGTTCACATGCAAATGAACAAGAATTTCTCACACTGAGGAATTCCCTTCAGCATGCAACACAAACTCACTACACGGACAGCGGGCCAAGCGGTGCTGCAGAGAACTTGAATCCCCAAAATAGACAGCATGGTGGAGTTATAGAAAATACCAAACGCCCACATAAAGACCCCCCAAAACAAATACATGCACGTTATTTATACAATAAGAGCACAATCATAAAATATAAACGTTAAGTGATGCTAACTTCAAGGGGAAGATGAAGCTCTACTTTGTATCATTCCCTGGGATAGGACAAGACTCCAACAACAACTAACGGAAAAGACTCGCCCAAAAAATTACAGTTTAGTAAAAAATCATATTTTTTTTGGAGAATGAGCTTTGATAATGGATTTTCCCCATTTTGGCAATTGAGATCAAAGTACTTCATTCTATTATTTTTTTACCCAGTGTCAAGATCAATATATAACACCATGTTGAGTTGGACTGTTTCTAAAAAGGAAGTTGTGTTATTTTAGTCACACAAAATAGATCAATTTTCGATAACCCGAGTTCCCTTACCCCTATTTGATAACCGG